GTGTCGCTAGAAAGATCTTGATGTGTATTTTCATTTGGCACCAGTTTCAGATCGTTTTGAGGTTTCTATGATTTGTTATGAATTTTTAAAGAGATAAAGGTCAGGTTGTCAGTTCTTATAAGATTTAGAAAATTGATGTAATTATTGGGATTTCTTGTGTCTTGATGTTATTAAATGATGGAATTGGCCTTTTAGGTGCTGTTTCTAATATGATGGATGGATTTGATGAATTAAGGTTTTTTTAATTTTACTATATTTATGATTTATGACATGAACGGTTCTAGAGTTGAGCATATGAGGACCTCATTCATCGCGTCACCATTGAGAAAATTTAAAAGGTGAGCCCGTTTGGTTCATGGATTAGAACCATTTTTGATTTACGTGTATTTTTTGTGAGAGAAAATATTGTAGTGAACCATGAACCATGATTCGAATCAGAAAACGAATCCTCCAACCAAACGGGCTCTAAGTAAGGCGCTCATGTAAGTACACTCACTTGCAATGTGAATTGAAAAATTGAGAAGTATATGATTTTGATGTTTATGATGATGTTATGACACCTTTACTATTTCTCATATGATGACGTTTTGAAGAAAAATGTATATATATGTATTTTTATTTTTTTAAATAGCATTGTATACGCTTAATGGTAATCGGTGAGTAGTCTTATTGTCACGGTTAGTATGAGATTTGCTACCCCATACTTTCCGTGGCTAGCACGTTATGATGGTAAAATGTTGGGCCCAATATTTGATGGAATTTAAAGTTAAAATATGTTCAAAAATAATTGTTCTCATGATGACGTTTATTGTTGATGAATAAAAATGTTCATTTATGTTTGTGAGAATTAAGTGTCTTACTAAGCCCTTGCTTATATAAGTTATTTTATGTTGCAAACAATCTAAAGGGTAAGATATAGCCATGGAGAATCTTAGAGCAGATGCGAGTGGTGCGTGATAGGAAACAAGAGAAACGATCATTGAATGAAAGTGCTTAATGTTAAACAAAGTTGTTAAATTTTTATTTTTATTGTTTTGGAACTTTGGTTTATGGTGGTTTTAATTTGAAGAATACTTAAGATCTTTTTTTAAGTTTATTTTACGGTATGAATTTTAATAAATGAGTTGAACCTAAAGATTATTTTCCTTTGATGACGTTTAAAATTTTTAAAGTTATAATATAAAAAAAAATTTAGGATTTCTTCAAGTCATTCAAAGTAAAGTGTTTTAAGCTTAACTATTTTTCGCATATTTTTTAAAGGTAAATGTTTGAAAGTTAAGATAACTGTGAGACCCGTGGGGCATCGTTACAAGTTCCAACCTTCAGCGGTCGCGGATGCAATTCTGATTCTCTAGGCTTGTGCAAATCGAGGGTCCCTGATTTTTTCCTTCATCGTTCACCCATAAATCCCTCAAAGACCACCCCTTTTTCCTAATTCTGAAACAAAGAACAAAAAAGAAAAGCCATTCCTTCGTCTTTCCTGTCTTCTTCAATTTTCAAAACGGAGTCAATTGCTCCGAAGAGAGTGAAGCGGTGTTTTCAATTGGCCGTAATATTGAGTCGATGTAGTGTGGAACGCCGTTATCCCCGGTACAAGTGTTTCCGTTGTCGTTGCCGTTGGCGAACTTCTTTGGTAGATCCGCCGTACTCGTGTTTGGGGTTATTGAAGCAGAGCATCCGTTGTCATCTACAGAATTAAACACGGTAAATTCTTTCTACAGCAACTCGTTTCATTGGATTCTCAAAATAGAAATGATGGAAAAAATTGTCTTTCGTTTGCCATTTTTTATTTTAGTTCTACTTTCTTGGAACTCTTGAAAATTTGCTACTGTAGTCGTTCAATTTTTGTTTTTGCTGTTTATGTTGATCCATTGGCTTCTAATTTAAAGATCTGTATATTTTTTTGTCTTTGCTTCTTCTGCTTGATTTATCATTGCCTTAAATTATGATTTTGAAAATGTCTAGGCCCCTGATATTGGAAGTTTGAGTTCTAGGAACAAGATGGAGTGAACTTTTTATAATCAGTTAACATAAGACTCTGTGTTGGTTTGCTTGTCATTTGATTTTTTACATTAAAAATGATATTGAAAATGTCTAGGTCCTGATATTGGGATTAAAAGCGTTTGAAACATTGTTTACTCGTGGAAATGATATAGAACTATTAGCTTTGCACTTTTTTTCCATTAAATAAATAAATGAAAAAAAGCTTCATACTTTATTCTCCATTGGTTGGTTACAGCAGTTATAAAAATGGTGTAGAGAGGCAAGTACAAGAGTCCCACTGTCCTGTTAAGTTTTGGACTAAAGGAAGGTTATTCCCTTCCCCCTTTATTGGTATCAATTGTTTCTTCTAGTTGGATAGATAACAGGGATTCGTTATAACTTGGTGAACATTTGAGATGCAATCTGTTCTTATGGCTGTCACTAAACATGTCGTTGCACATAATTGTGAGAAAGAGAACGACAAGGTTTGGTTCAAAAAATCAGCATCTGTAGGAAAGCAATATTGGCTGTGTTGCACTGAAAATGTACAAAAAATTAGAGGGAAAGAATGAGATAGAACATGTTTGTAAGGTGTGAAATAATCAAACACCAAAAAGCATGTACATAATTAAATATTTGTAAATTAACATCTTAATATAACCTTTTATCATGTATTTATGAGTTAATGTCATAAATGGTCCTTTAGGTTTACTTTTAATTTCATTTTAGTTCCTAAAATTATATAAAAATAACAACTCCGGATCTGAAAAAAAAAAAAACATATATGAAAAACCTCAAAAACCCATATCTGAAAAAACGAAATCTTAAAAAAAGACCCACCAATTTTTATGATCCATTGAATACTAATCCCACTTTTTCCCAATCTCACACACTCTCCAAAATCTCACGGATCTCCCCTCCTTCACATTCTCTCAAAAAGGGGTTGTTTTTCAATGTTAATGCATTTTTTTCAGCCAGAACAGAAAATTGGCTTTTTTAGAGCAGGTTCCGATGCCAAAAAGAAAGGCACTTTCTGGGTGTTTAGACGTTGGCTGTGTTTAAATTGGTTCTGTTTTTATTTTTTGAGAAAAATAAAATAAAAATGTTTTAATTAAAACGGTTTTAATTTAGTATAAAATGAGAGAAAAATTAAAAATAATTTTTAGTTATTTTTTATTTTTATTTTTTAGCAGAAAAAGAAAAAAAATATTAATAAATTTTTTATACTAAAAATAATTTTTTAATAAAATTATTAAACACATTTTTAAAAATATTTTATATCTAAAATAAGTGTTCGTTTAGTTCATGTATTCAGAATCATGATTCAGAACTATTCTCGTTTTACGTGTATTTTTTATGAGAAAAAACACTGTAAAAAATTATGAATCATGATTCAGAATCAAGAATAAATACAGAAAATAAACGGGCTCTAAAAATATTTTTTATTTTTATTTTTATATAAAAAATAAAATTATTTTTAAACGAATTCTAAAAAGCCAATTTCTCTGCTTGTTTGCTTTTGCTTAGCCACTTTCTAAAGGGTCGTTCCGTGCAAAATTTTCAAAGTGTTACCGTGTATAACTCTCATACTTCGTCCGATGGAAATGTAAATATTCGATGAAAAAGGCCCGGTTTTGGTGACTACCCAGTTGAGGAGGTTAAAAACGGAAGCTTCATTGTTGAAGATGGAAGAGTTCATTAGAAAGCGAACGGCACACAGCCAACAAAGAGAAGCAAGCCAGAGTCTAAAAAAAAAAAAACTAAGAACAAAGCATCAGGACCTGTGAAAATTTTCCGAATCACCATTTCAAACAGATTCCCAAGATATATGAGACATTGATAATCTCAATGAAACAAGAACTAAATTGTTTGGTTGCTTTAACAGTGAGGTGAAATCCCAAATACCAAAAGCTTTTGGTAATAGTTAGAGAGAACTACAAATCAAGCAATTTGAGCTTCAAAGCAAAAAAAAAAAAAAAAAAAAAAAAAAAAAAAAAAATTTTTAATTTTTCAATTCTCAGACTCGACTCGGGGGGAATCATGTTGGAGTCAGGCAGTGGGCAAGAGAGGATATCGCCACCACCGATTGGGACTGCGCTGCCATCAGAGGAGGGGCGGGATCGTGCCGGCGTCGGGGGAGGGTGTTCGTACCGTCATCGATTGGGTTTTGTGCTGCCGGAGGAGGGGCAGGATCGAGCCGGTACCGGGGAAGGAATGCTCGGAAAAAATGGCGGCTTCGTCAGAAGAAGAAGATGATGAGAGGGAGAGTCGAGAATTGTTGAATTTCTTTTTTTTTTTTTAATATCTTAATGGAGTTTTTTTTTTTTTTTTTTTTTTTAAATTTTTTAAGGGGTTTTTTTTTTTTTTTTTTTTTTCTTTTGAAATTGTTAAAGGGTTTTTTTTTATATATTTATTCATTCTTTATTACTTTTTAAAGATTTAAAATGTGATTTTATTTGAAAATTTTTTAATATAACAAAAAAGTTAAATGTGATTATTTTTTAAAATTTTTTACTGTAATAAAATTTAAATTTTAAATTTAAATTGATAAAATAAATGAGACTTTAATACTCAATAGACTTTACGTGTCAATTACATGTCAAAAATGTTTAAAATTTGTCAGACAATACTAATTGGACTAAAGTTGTAAAAAATTAAAAGTTGAAAGAGGTGATTGCATAAAAAAATTAGAGACTAATCTCTCAATCACGATAAATTAGAGACTCATGCAAAAAAAGCTTGACTTCAATAATGTTAGCACATAAACCGGAGTTGAGCAATGGCCAATTGGCTAATGCATAAAAAAAAAAGTCTCGTTTCTTTAGCGGAAAAAAAGTGTCCTTTTTACAAGCTCAGATTAACCACTAGGAGTAGTTCCAAAAGACGAAACTTCCCAAGCTCCTTTGTTTTTTCTTTTATGTTCACTTTATTTTTGTTGTATATTCAACTCACCTAAAATAGCAAGAAATTGTACTAAAATATACAAAATAAAAATGGAATTATGTGCAAGAAAGTCGAGATATAATTAGGTATATACGATTTCACCCAATAATTGTGTAGTCACCCTATTCATAATTTTTTTTATAAAAAAAACAAACCAAAAACTTCCAAAAATAAAACATCAAAAGGATTGGGACACCCCCTACTCCTCTCCAACTACACAAGAACACCAGCTACAAAACACATGGTTACGGATGACTCAAAATTACAATTAATTACATCCCATTTTTTTTTTTCCATACTATATTTGGGCTATTTTTTTCTTAGCTAATTAAAATAAATAAAATAAGTAAGTCCCTCTAACACCTCCAAACTGACGTGGCAACAAGGGCCCGATCGTGCCAGCAAAGCACCAACTCGGCCTGTCGTTTTGCCACGTGGAAGCCTCTGACCTGTACCTTTCCAAGCAAGCACTCGGCCTGAAAATCCGCGAACTGGCTCAGCAGCACCGGCCTCATTCCGGCGCCGTGGAACATCTCCCGAAACGGTGCCGTTTTCCTTCCCGCTGCCGCCTCCACCGCGGCCGCCATCCTCGGCCGCAGAACGAACGTCTCTATCTTCCTTACCCAGTCGCCGCCCACCATCGCTGCGTCGAGCGACTCCATCACCATGGAGTAGAACTCGAGGCCGCAGACAAAGCTCCTCCGAAACGACGTCGTCGCACCGACCTCCTCCCCCAAACCCTCGGCATCGACTAACACCACCACCGCAGGCGAGATCCTCCTCACGTCCGTGAGAAATCCAGCGACGGAGAGGCGGCGGAGCGCGGCCGTGGAGAGAAGCACGGCCGTCTTCTCGCCTTCCATGAATTTGATCGCCTTGAAGGACAAGACCTCGAAGGTTCGGAAGAGGACGAACTCGATTTGGAATCTGATCTTCAAATCCTGAGCGAACTGAGAGAGATTCTCTCTGATCAACCTGCTCTCGACGGCGTACTCCTCCGGGACGATGGCGGTGATTCTGACCACCGGAGGGCTGAGTCTGAGGGACTCGGATTTCTCGGCCAGCTCCTTCATGAGCGAGGCGTACTGGCCGCCGAGGCCGATATCGAAATCGACGACGTGGATGAAGGCGGAACCGTTGAGGGCTTCGAGGAGGGCTTGGTTGGTGGTGAAGTGGGAGAACATCGGGATCGGAGAGATTCCGGAGAAGGCCTTGTAGGCTCTGATGGTTTGGACGATCTCCGACCATGAAGAAAGCCGGGCCGTCCGGTTCGAACCGGAGAGGAGGGACTGGAGAGCGTCTTTGAAGTAGAGAGCGGCTCGCTGGAGCGCTCTACCAACTGGTTTCCCGACTGGGGAGGTGTTCGACCGGAGGCGCTGGTTGAGCCGGTCGAGTATCGCCTGAGCGAGTTGCGAGTTGTCCGAGTCGAAACAGTCGGCGACTCGGATTAGGTCTTCGACGAAATCAAACCCAACGTTGATATTACCACGGTTGTGGAATTCCCCGGACGACGTCGTATCGAAGAGGTTGAGGTTGTGATCGCCGAGATTAATCTCGGAGAAGTTGAGATTGTGATGATGATGATGAACCAGCTGTGTGGGATCGAACGGCTGATGATGCGAGATCAGCTCCGAGAAATGGGGAATTATGTGGGGGTCGCAATTAGGGTTCAACTGATGGGCAAAAGAATTAGTAGTATTAGTTGTAGCAGTCTTGAAGGCTGGGGCAGAATCGTCATGCAAGCCCAATTCTCTCATGAGGGAGTCCCAATCCAAGTAATGAAACTGCTCTTCCCACTCGAGAGAATCATTTGGCTGGGCCGGCTTTCCTCCCACCGGGCTCGGGCTCCGGCGGAGGTCGAGAACCGATGTCGGTTCGTAGCAGAGGTTCGGAATATGTGTCGGGCTGTGAAAGCCGATGATGTTAGCGGCAGTAGTACTATTGTTGTTGTTGTTGTTGTTGCCGTTGTTGTTAAGGTTGTCGGATTTCGGGTTAGGGTTGTTCTGAGGAGAAGTAACGGGGACGATCATTGCTAGTTGGAAAAGGGAAAGAAAGTTGAAAGACTTGAAATTTAGCAAGGGAAAAAGCTTTATCCTTATTTTGGTTTGAGATTAATGTTATGGTAGAGAGGGAATTAAAGGGAAGAGGAGGGGGCTTTTGGTGGTGATGATTATGGGCTTTTTATCTTTGCGTGTGTGCATGGGGGGTATGGCGAATACAAGGGTGATTCATCATATCATGATGTTATTATTATTATTATTATTATTATTATTATTATTATTATTATTATTATGGCATACATGACAGACAAGTGTGACACGCGTCAGAGGTGTCTCTTTTGATCTCTTTGAGGCTTCTAATTCAAGTCTCTTGTAACAAATTTTGCTTTTTTTGATTGGGGTTTTTCTTGTCTTTTGCTTTGGGGGGTTTTTTTTTTTTTTATTCTTCCGGGGGGGCTAAGAAAATTCTCTGATCTCGATCGTTGGCTTTTGAAAATCTCAGCTCATGTAATATCCCCTCTCTAATGCAAAAAGAAAGTACTGGTATATATTGCATCGTCATGTGTAGATTCAGATGGACCAAATTCTCAGCAAGCCCTTTCACGATCCATGCAAGAGGAAGCTATGTAGTAAGAGAAAAATGTTTGGAGCCACCAGTAATGTTCGACATTATAATTAACAATAATAATAATAATAATAATAATAATAATAATAATAATAATAATAGTTTTTGGGTTTATATTATTAATTAACTCATTTTATTAATGTGTAAATGTCGAATACTATTTGTATCATAGTTTATTTTTTTATTGTACGAACCCCAAAAGAAGTTTGAATTAGTAAATAATTTGAAAAACGTTCATCTTCATATTAATGCTGACTGATATCAGCCTTGAAGCTGTTTAGTTTCAAATTTTATATATTTTGTCTGAAAAATTGTTATTCAAATGTTTTTTTATTTTATTTTATATGCTTCTAGCCAAGTGTTTTGAGTGCGAGTACAGGAAATATGGGGCTTAGATTAATGCTCATTGCTCATAGTATACCCTTGTTGAAAAGAAGGAAAAATTATTCTCAACCTTTTATAAAGTGAAAACGATATAAGTTTATTATCGTTTTCCTTTTGTCCCAATGATATTTGTCTTTCAATGTTTGGTGGGACAAAATAAAAATATCAGAAAAAAAAGGGAAAAAATTAGTGCTACGGTAGAGACTAGTTGAATCCCATTACATGCATTTTGAAACATTGCCAAACACTACATTTCAAGGGCGTTTCAACTGAGAAACGACAAATGAGTCGCATATTGGCGTTAAAGTTCCAAAGCAAAAATGTCCCCCCCTCAAAACTTCTATATATTAGGACCCCACAAAAGCTTCGAACACGACCCACCACCAAACTTTACTAAGCTTCCTTTAAAAAAGCCTTAATAAAAGAGTTATGATTAACAACTTTGAGATCAACTAGCGGATACTATAGCCAGCTCTCCCTCCGGTTATGGAAATTGGCAAATATTTTTTGCATCTTCGTTAACGGTTCCTTATCTGGCAAAAGCAAAAAAAAAAAAAAAAAAAAAAAACTTAAAAAAAAAACTTGCTTGACCTGTGTTCCACTTCGCTATCTTCATCGAAAAGAAACACACACTTCTACTACTTGAATATTGACTCTGAAATGTGTAGTCGACAATAATTATGCAGCTTTCACTTAAGTTAATTAATTACTGATACTAATTACTTGCAATTATTATTATTATTTTTGCTGATGAATTACGTGCTGAATTTGATAACGAAGAGCTATATATATATATATATATATATATATATATTCTTAGAAAGTTTTTTCATCTTTTCTTTCTTTGTAAATTCCCCCTTAATTATTAAACCCATATAGAGGTTCGATTTCTTGTGTATAATGACCAACATGAAATGGCTTCTCGTTGTTAGTTAATAACAACATGTAAGGATTCTATGATCTTATAATAAACCGTGAATGGGCAAAGGATAAATAGCATAACAAAAAAGAAAAACATAATCAATTTAGTACTTTCGAAAATTAAATTGTATTTTAGCTCTTTACTATACCAAGCTGTTCCTATTTCTCGTATCAAAATTAGGAACACAATTATTTTTTTTAGAACGTACACAGATATAATATACTTCTCTCTATTTTTATTTTTAATAAAAAAAAATAAGAATAACAGATTAAAAGCCGTGGAATATGCATGCAAGATTTCGTATTCCTACTATTTATATCTATTTATCTTTGAAAATTTTGATTTTATATGTAAAATATGGTTTATATCCATAAAAAAAATTGTTTATCTCTAATCTTATATCTTTTAATTCTACATGTAACACAAATAGGATCCATTTTCCATTATATATGAAACAATGTATTTAATAAAACTTTTCAGCGATGGCATTTTATCGTTGCTTAAAGTCACAGCATTAGCAAGGATTTATCGCTATAATATTTTCTGAATAGTGGCTATATAATTAGCGTGAAAAAGATCTGCTTGTTCCCACGAACGTTCCACTACACATTAACTCAACTGTATAAAATTTAACCAAGAGAAAGGTCTACTTACAGAACCATTCTCAAAAGGACTTGGGAAAGAAATACTTGACCACTGTACTTTACTTTTAACTGTCTCTTCAGTCACAAAGAATACAAGAGCTTTGCTGAGCACCGTCGACTTGTTGCTCAAGCATACTGCAGAAATGTTCAATTCACACTAGTGGGTTTTTTTTTGTTTTTTGTTTTTTTGTTTTTTGTTTTTCTTTCATGAAAAGCCCTAGCTGGGCATCAAGCAAAAGGTAAATAGAAATCCCATTGACTGGGCCCCCTTTGATGGGACTAAACCTCAAGGGATGACCCACACTTGTGGGACCCATCAGGGTGGCTTTGTGTCGGACATGCATGGGGGATGTATGAGAAATAGAGGGCCCTAAACCAAAAGAGTCGGCGCGTAGAAAACACGCCCACGTAGGATTGATAGCCTTTGGGCTTTGGCTTTGGCGGCGACAGGAAAGAGGGAATATGTTCCAATTGGTGGTGATAGTGCAATCACTGATTGACAATCCCATATCGCTTCCATTAATTAGACGTACCACAAAAGAAAGAAGAAAAGGGCAATACGTTTGGTGTGCTGATAAATTATATTTTTTTAATTGTTAAATTTATATATTTTTAAATTTTTATGTTATTTTATATAGATTTGATGATTAAAAAATTTAATTATTGGTATATTAACCTATTAGAGAAAATTTTTAAAAAAAAAACACATTAACTTACACTTTTCTTTATTTTTTATTTTTTTTATAGAATATCTCTGTTGATAAGATTAATTTTTAACAATTAAATCTGATTAAAATTATATCAAATTAAAAATATATATAAAATAAATAATTTTTAATATAAATTAGATTACTGAAAATAAAGACCTTTTAATGATTTAATCTTTTAGGACCTACTAAAAAAATCCTCTTTTTATTTTTGTTTTTTTAGCCATTGGAAGTGGGACTTTAGGAGAAAGGTTTTGCCAACCTAAATTATATAAAAGATGTTTTTGGTCCTTTCTTGCCCATGTCAAATTGATTATTATTTTCCTTACTTTTGATGTGTATATTTTATGACCAATATACCACTCAAGTCCTAATCAGAGATTTTAAAATTATAATTAAGTATGGAATGTTTTTGACTAATTTGTTATAAATTATAATAATTAAGGTGTGAACATATACAGCGATCCAAGGGATCCAATGCAGCAACAACATCTCTGAAAACCCTTTATCCATATGGTATTCAGTGAATAACTTTTCATTTCTTTAACTCGTGTTTTCCACATAACACCTTTTTCTCAAAAAAAAGAAAAAAACTTTGTTAAAGCATCTCCAATGCAATGTTATAATTAATGTGCTAATGGTAAATTTTACATTTAAGTGTAAAAAAAAAAAATCTCTAATGCAATGTCATTTGTTGTGTCAAATTTACCATATATTTATACTTTATGGCAAATTTTCCATTAAGTATAGCATATGATAAATTTGATATTTGATTGTTATTGGTTGATATATTTATTTTTTCACTCAATCATTGCAACTTTTGTATTTTCAAATTATTTTATAATTAAAAATTTTCTTTTATAACTTTCAAAGCTTAATGATTATAAGGAAAAAAAATAGATTTAGCATTTCAAATCACATTATACATTAGAGTACAAATGAAAATGACACATTCTATCATACTTTTTTATTACCAAATATGCAATTAGTTTTAGTATTTACGTTGGAGATGATCTTATAGTATTGCATAGCTTTAGAGCTAAGATCACATTAAAACCAAAAAGATGTGTAATTTTAGCGGAGTTAATTAATAGAATAAGTTAGGGGTTGAAACAAATATTTCTATAATTACTTTTATATATCAACTCATGTGGCAATGGTTCTTTTGTAAAAAATTACAGTAAATTGTAGATTTTTAAAACTAAATTAAGTAAATAGTGAATTTTAAAATTATTTAAAGTAAATAGCAGTTTACATGATAAGTAAATCATTTACCATGTAATTTATTCATTTACGACTAGTAAAAAATAATTTACGTGGTAAAAATTCTTAAAAATCTGTATTTATGTTGAAAGAAAATCTTTTTACTGATCGTAAAAAGAAGATTTACGGGAAAAAATGTTTTTATTAGTCGTAAATGAACCATTTATGCAGTAAATGATTCATTTACCATTTAAAATATTATTTACTTTAAATAATTTTAAAATATGTTATTTACTTAATTTAGTTTCAAAAATTGGTTATTTATACTACATTCTCCCCAAAGTCCGCTAAGATGTAAGTGTAGATGAAACTGTGTCCTCCGTAAGTGTAGATGATTAATGAAATGTTGTTTTGTTTCAAAAAAAAAAAAATTGCAGAAAACATCACAAAACAGCAATTCGGTCAATTTTACAGCATACGTGGCTTTTTTTCCCTTCTTCTTCTTTTTGTTTTTTTTAACCATCTTTAATTCCTAAAAAAGCTCAAAATTAGGGTTAGCATGTCAAGTATATATATATATATATGTGTGTGTGTGTGTGTGTGTGTAAAATTGTCCCAGTCAAATATATATATATATATATATATAATTGAATCCTAGTTTGGAAAATTAATGGATCCTAACAAAAGATCCCTCTAATAATATTA